CGCACACACACACACACCAACACCACACACGCACGCACACACACAACACACACGCTCACTCGCACTCAGGACACACACACACATACAAATGCACATGCACATGCACATACACATACACATACACACATCCACATCGACATCCACATACACATACACATACACACACGCACACGCACACACATATTTTTGGCGTCGCGGCCCCGCGCGCAACGACGGCGTCCACATATCAGAGAGGAGGGTGCGCGCGTCCAAAGGCCCAGCCCTCAAGCCGCTCAGAGCGGGCAGCGCCGCGGTCAGCCATATATCATCGGGGCATGAATGACAGGGGGGTCAGACGAGGTAAGCAGGTAGCCGACCAGTATGCGTTGTGCTGGGAGGACAAAAAGGGGGGCACAGTGGAAACTACAGTGACGCTATGGCTAGACGACTGGCAGAAGGGCAAGAAAAGACACAAGGAGGCCAAAGGCCATCAGTGTCGGCGTGGGCACCGCAAAGGCTGCTCCGAGGAGGTAGCAGCGTCGGCAAGCCCGTAGGGTCGCCAGTAAGTCGGCCGTGAACCAGCCAGAGTGAGGGGCGCGGCCAGCCCGAGGCCCGCGGGGCCGACCACACCCAGCACCCCTTGGATGTGTGGGCGCGCGAAGGCCGAGGAGGGAACGAAAAAGGCAGGAATGCGAAACAAACGCAGGAGCGCAGAGTGAGCGCGCCTGTGTGCTCGCCGAGGCAAGCCAGCCGAGGTGAAAAGATACAGCCTGGAACTGAGGCGTGCGCGGGGCACAGCACCCCGAGCAATGCGGCCAGCCCGTTCACCGCATCCTTGACGCACGAACGGGACCTGTGGGGAGGCCCGGCCGCAGGGCCAGGGGCCGCAGAAACCCGGGGCCGCCAGGACCTTACGCGAGGGGGTTTGGCGCCGAGGGGAAAGCCATCTGAGAGCATCCGTTCGGGTGCAGGATGCCAGGCCTCCCGTACTCCAGGCGCCGTCGTGGCTAAAGCTCCGCGGGCGCCTGGGATGCAGGGCGCTTCCGGGGAACCGCTTCGCCGCCGCGAGGGTTCCTACGTGGGTCGTGGGGCGGGCGCTCCTCCGCGTGGGCCGGTTGTCGCTCGCACCCTCCAGCGTCTGGATCCACCCGTTGCCCCGACCCCGCGCCTGGGCGATGCCGATGGGCGGCTGGCCGCCTTCGCCCTGGATCTCGCAGGGCGCGCTCGGCCCACCTCGTCGCCCAGAGCCCGCGAGTCCAGCCGCCCGCTCAGAACGTCTCGCTGCTGCTCGCAGGGCATTCCTCGGCAGGGCCGATGGCGCCGACCTCTCGGGGGATCTTCGCGGCGGCCTGCTCGGCGTTTTCGGGCGGCTGCTTGAGGGCGTCGCGGGGCTCGACGGCCGCGCCCGCCCCCCAAATCCATGAATTGTTCCAATTCTGCAAGCGAATAAAGTGAGGGCGAGGGCAGGACAGTGGTTGGTGTACGCTGTCCGAGCCGGGGGCGGGGGAGCGTCCACGGCCTCCAGCCCGACGCAGTCGGTCGATCAGATGCAGCGGTGCCCTGGCAGTACAGGGTAGTCTGGTAAGCCATGCACCAATTAAGTATGCAGCTTCGTCGATGGCAAGAGGACCCGCTGTGGGTCCGTCGGGGTCGGGGTCGAGCCATGCAGATGGGGCGCCAGGGATATCAGGGGAAGCAGGAGGCGCTGGAGGCGCCAGTGGGGGGCCTCCCCTGCTACTTCCGGCGGCGGGAGCAGCAGAGGGTTGGGCGGCGCTGGAGGCCGCGCCACACGTGGGAGAAGGGGGGCGGGCAGGTGAGGCAGGGAGGGCGCGACAGACGAGACAGGTGGTGGGGGTCGCATTACAGGTGGGCGCGCAGGTGGTGCAGGCGGAGCGGGGGCGCGCGGGCCCCGTGCCCGCACTGGGGGGCGCGGGCCCCGGGCTCGCACTAGGGGGGCGGCCATCAGGGCGCGTCTGCCGGCCACGGGCAGGTGGGCACGAGGAGCGCCAGTCAGTGGAGGGGGCCCGGGTGGCACCCGCGATAGCAGGGCGAGAGGGTGCTTCGGCAGCGTCGCCGGTGGGGGTCTTTGAAGCATCGGGTGCTAAGTGATCGTGTGGATTAGGCGATGTGTCAGAGCGGGTAAGGTGGCCAACGGGGGCACGCGGTCGGCTGGGTGCCCGGCCTGGTCTGTGGACAGCTTCATCGGGCGTGGAATCGGAGGGCCTGGCGCGGGGTGGAACTGAGGAGTGGGGGAGCCGAGCCGAGGCGGGGGTGCCCAGCGCCGCATATCTGCCACGGGTGGATGACGATGAGGAAGGGGGGAGAGAACCTTTGGGTCCAGAGGAACGTGAACGGGTCAGGCGAACGGAGGGCCCGGAGGCCCCCCATCTGGGGGATCTGGAGAGGTGCTTGTTCCTCAGGAGGGCCGCTGCTCTGGCGCGCCTCTCTTCGTGCTTCACTGAGTGCTACCCCGCAAATCGGTCCCTGTCGTTGCTTTCGATGAGTGCCTCGAGGCAGGCGTGCTCGACGAGGATGAGGTCGGTCTGGTGGATAGGCTTGAACCGTTCAGCAGCTTAGCTGAGAAAGTCCCTCGGCGTGCATGCCGAGTGGTCTGGGTTTCTGATGCTGGGGCGCTGCGGGCCCCGACGACTAGAGCCAGCGCGTGCGCGAGGGGTGAGCGAGACGGGGGGGGGGGGCAAGATGCCCCCGAGTGCGAGGAAGCGCTCAATGGAGACGACAGACATCCATGCGGGCGCAAGGGGGGCACCGACGGCCGCGGGGAGAGGTTCGTGAGGGGCGGGCGCGTGGAGGTCGCGCAGGAGGAGGTGCCGCATAAGGAGGTGCGGTTTTGCAGTGCCCTGGGAGTGACGGTTTTGCGGGTTGCGAGCCCCGACCACCGTGTGTACCTGCTTGCGGAGGGCTTCATCATGCATTCCCCAGGTTGCAGGTTGAGCCGAGGAGTGGTCATAGGAGGCCAGCGGGTGGAGCCCCAGGCAGAGCATGGGGTTCGCGCGCCCGGGGCGCGGGACGGCTCTGGTCGTCGAGTGGGCGATAGCCCAAGTCGATCTTGGCCTCAACGTAACAGTGCTGGAACACGTTTAAGGGGGCGTCGTCCAGAGTTGGCGCGAGGTCAGGGCAGGCGGCGACGGCGTCTGGAAGCATGGCGCGGAGCGCGTCCGATTCGAGTGCGGCAGGTGCACCCTGGAGGTCGAGGAGTTTGCGAATGCTGGGCTCGCGCGGGCGCCATTGCGGGGCCGCAGAGATTTTCGGGGGCCAGTGGGGAGCGGCAGGAAAGGGGCCATGAGCACCAAGGGCAGCGGTGACCGAGGAACCAGAGGCTGGGGGGGGGCGCCAGAGCCAGTGCCAGAAATGGTTGCTCCATTGCCGGGGCCGTGCCCACCCTGGGATGCCAATGCCCCCGCGGGCGCTGTCCCTGGGCCTGGAGCCCATGCTCCTGGCAGGGGGGCGAGGCGCGCCGCGTCGAGCGCGCGCTGATTGGGCCGTGCGGGAAGACGAGCCGTCGCGGCCGGCCGCGCGCTTGGCTGGGGGGATGCGGAAGAGAGCAAGGGTGCAGCACGGGTGCGAGGAGCAGGGCCAGGAAGGGAGTTCGGACTGAGGGCTAGGGCCAGTGGACACAGTGGCGACGCCAGCGTCCTCGAGGGCGAGACAAGCCTGACAGGTGCCAGGTGCCAGGATCGCCGAGAGGGGCACCAGGTAGCAAAGGGGTCAGGTGGCAGCGGGAGACTTGCAGGACCCTATCATCAGAGTCGAGTGCGTCCTAGGCTTCGGGCCAAGGCCCCACGGAGCGCGGGGTCATCGAGGGTTTCCTCGCTGGGGGAGTACATAACAAGGCGAACAATGGCCCGCGACCTCGCCAGAGACGGTGTTCGCATCGCAGGGGTCGACCGAGGAAGCGACGGAGCGCGAAGTGCTCGGGCGCGAGGCAGACGTTGCCGGCATCGCAGCCAAGCGTGGGGTGCAGGTTCTGTGCCAGATGTAACGCCATCTTCCTGTCAAAGGCGCCAGGTGGTGGGGGGTGAGGATGCAAAGAGTTGCATGTGTGCGTGCAGCCGAAAGGCGCAAGCGAAAAGGGGGAGGCAAGCAGGACCGGGAAAGCCGGCTGGCCGAGCCATGCGTGAGTTCCCCGCAGGTTTCTTGGCAGTTGTAGCCAGAGTGGAGGGGGGGCGACGCACGATGGCAAGTAAAGAGCGCGGTGCTGGTGTGGCAAGTAAGCGCACGATGCTGCGCAGCAGTGGCAGTGCTGGGGTGGTCGACCTTGGGCGCCCTGTCGCATCCCGGCGCGTCCTGGGTCGCGTCCTGGAGGGGGGCCTTCTGTCAGGCGACGGGCTGAGGGGGGTCTTGCGCAGGCAGCTTGGAGGGGAGACCCGCGCGGTCAGCATGCTCCGCGGTGGACCGGAGCTTGGTGCCGGTGCTGGCCTGCGCCATGGGATGAGTTCCAGATGAGGATGACTCCGCTCTCGGCCCTCCTGAGCGTAGCATTGAACCTCCGCGGGCAGTCGAGGTGCCGGGGATGATTGTGTCCGTTGGAGTGCGCGCAGGTGATGATGACCATGCCCGCCTCGCACCCCTGCGTCTGGTCGATCGTCTTGAACCGAACGTTGTGCCGTTTGTTTTCCAGGCCCGGAGACGAGGGCGGTGGGGGGAAACTGGAAGACTTGAGGGGACCGAGGGATTGAGGGCCAGTCGCGTCAGAGGGTAGGGGCCAGGGCCACGCGCACACGCACGCACACACAAGCACACACACACACGCACGTACACACACACGGATGCACCAATGCACCAAAACACATACACACGCACACACGCGCACACACAGCACACACAGCACACGATGCACAACGCACAACACAACACACAGCACACACAACACACGCACACAACACGCAACGCACAACACACACTAGACAACACACACAACACACACGCAACACAGCACAACAACACACCACAATGAAACACAACACAGCACAGCATTACGCAAGATAACACAACACAACACAACGCACCGCAGCGCAACACATCACACACACACGCACACACGCACACACGCACACACACACACACACGCACACGCACACGCACACGCACACACGCACACACGCAGCCACACTTTTTGGCGTCGCGGCCCCGCGCGCAACGATAGGGCGTCCAAAGGTCAGAGAAGAGGGCGCGCGCGCGTCAAAGGCGGAGCCCTTCAGCCGCTCAGAACGACCAGCGCCGCGGCCAGCCGCAAGTCGCCCGTGCATGGGTGAAAATGGGTGTCAGACGAGGTAGCCAGGTAGCCGACCAGCATGGAATCGACGTGCTGGGAGGGCAAGGGGGGGGCACATTGGAACGTGCAGTGATGCCATTGCCAGACGACCGGCAGAAGGGCAGGACAAGGTCGAAGGAGGCCAGAGGTTTGCAGTGGCGGCGTGGGCACCGCAAAGGCTGCTCCGAGGAGGTAACAGCGCAGGCAAGCTCGTAGGGTTGGCCACACATGCACAACGTACACATACACATTCACATACACAAACATGCATATACACATACACATACACATTCACATATACGTACACATACACATACATACACACACGGACACATCCACATACACATTCACATTCACATACGCATACACATACACATACACGGACACACAGACACAGACACCTCGCAGCGAGATTGGGTTGGGAGCTCTGCTGACCCAGCTTCGTGATTTCTGTTTAAGCAGGTTGGGCAAAAGGGGGCCAGTGTTGCTTAGTTAAGAAAGGCCGCTAAGGTGGTTCGAGTCGGGGGTTGTTTTATCACATGTCTGGTTGGGGGTGTTGCTACGCCCGGGGCCGCTGGTCCAGCATCCGGAACATGTGCAGTGTCAGTGTGCGCACATGTAGGGTTGTGCTTTCAGACGGTGTGATCTATATTTCACTCACCGGTTCAGATGACATGCTACGTATCAAACGCTACTATTTGTATGCTGCTGGCGCCGAGCCCCCTCCAGCAACCGTTGTACTTTTGATACATCCACATTCGCACCATCATAGGGCCACCCAGTGACCAGCCCGGTTGACGCTGGACAAGCGGCGGCAATGAGGGGCTAGTTGGGGACAGTCGCGGCTCGTCGAATTTCCCCGAACAGGGCAGTCCGAGAGCACACGGGGCTTGTCTGGACTACACGGCGAATCGAATTCTCGCCGAAGCAGGTTAATTGGCCGCGCGGGGCCAGTCGGGGCGAGTCGAGGCGAACGGAATTCACGCCGAGGCTGGGCAACCGGCCGCGCGGTGCCAGTCGTAGGTGACCGCGTGAGTCGGGCTCCAGCCGAAGCAGGGGGGTCGGCCATGCAGTGTTTGCAGGGGTGCCCGTGGTTCGGTCGGTTCAGCTGCGTCGCAGTCGGTTGTGTTCGTTCTGTTCGGTTCGATCGATTGCTGTGCCGTTGCTGCGTCGCCGCGCCACTCCAGGCTGTTTGTGGCCTGTTGGCGGCCTGGTGGTTTCGGTCGGTTTCGGTTTCCTTGTCGGTTTGGTCGGTTTTCGGTTGTGCTATCGCCGTGGACGGCCTTGGAATGTCAGGGCTATCCGCGGCGAGCCAGACTCCTGCCGCCGAAGCAGGGCAAGAGGCCACGCGTCCTACAGCCAGCATTTTGGAATGAGGACCGATTTGGTTTCGAAAGGGGCTCTAGGTTCTGTGCGAAGTTGGTCCGACGAGGGGGCTTCGTTGTCTGCGGTCGGGGAGCGCCGCGGCGAGCCGACGCGGTCTAGGCCAGCCAATTTCGGGCGAAGTCTTGTGCCAGCAAGATGTCTTTCTCAAACGTCGCCATGACATGATCATGCGCTGACTTTCTTGGGCTCATTCGTGGCCTGACACATCAGTCAGTGGGCAGGAGGGAGCGTGCTTCGAATTTCCTGCTGCGACATTCATGCTTCCTTGGGCATGCACGAGGGTAGGGGTGACGATCAGATTGTCTCGCAGGAGGGCGACCCTCGAAAAAACGTCCCTTTGTGTTGCAAGAAGCGCGAGGATGTCTTATAGTGCTGCCGCTGACGGGCAAGGTCGTTCCACTCTGATCACTAGTTCTGGGTCGAAGTCTGCTTGGATTTTGTTCCTGGAAGCCTCCGGCGCATCCCAGTGCATATTCCCCCCCTCGCGTGTGGGGATGTAGGTACCCAGATGTAAGATGCAACTCCTGGGAGGTTAGATTCAGCATCGGCGCTGGCATATCCGTGAGTAACCCAGCCTTACCTCGTTGAGTCCAATATAATTCCATTCAATCGGGCTCAATCTGGCTTAATCCAAGGATTTACCCGGCTTTGTGGCCTTTCTAATCGGGTCGAATAGCCCTTAATCGTTCTTATCGATATCTCCCAGGAGTCGCCTCCCAACAGATGGCCGCTCAGCTGGAGGGGGTGTCCAGTTTCCTGAGAGAGGCCCGTCAGTGCTGTGCAAGCGGCCGGCACCGAAGGATACAGATCCCGGAAGGCGCGGTGAACCTGCTGGCGTGATGTTGGTTGACGCCTGTGGCGTGGTCGTGGGCATTGCCTCCTTGGGTCTTCCGTCCGATCGGGTCTTGCGATCTGCGTGATGTGGCACGGCTCACTGATGACTGTTCGTTGCGACCTCCTCGTGCAAAGCTTGGCCGTGACTGGTGGCGGGGGGATGGATGAGGAGAAGGAAGGAGAGGCAAACTAGAGGCAAGGCTAGGCAAGGCGCGCTCGCGCCACATTTGCTAGCCTATCCCTCCCAGCCATCCCTTCTCACTGTGCGAGATCCCTCACCGTTCGCCGAGTCGGGTGCCGGGTCGCGCGTTTGTCCCTGAATCGCAGTTGACCGACGGGCGGAAGCGGGGTCGACTGAGCAGACGTGGGCGCGCAAAATTCTCGCGTGAGCGCAAGTCCGCGCGTAACCGCCCTGGTTCACCGCGCGGTGTGCCGTGCAGGGGGCCTGCGTAAGCCACCGCGTAAGGTCGCTATGCCCTCTTGCGTAAGGCCCTGGCCCATCGCCTGCTGCGCAAAGGGAGAAAGGAGACAGGCCTGATGAAGGAGGAGAAGGAGGATTAATCTGACAAGTATTCTAGGACTCTAGGATTATGGGATTCTAGCTTGGCCTCACGCGCGCCCTGAAAGGGCGCGAGGCCCAGGCCCAGGCACAGAGAAAAGCGGCAGCCACCGACACGACGGCGACGACGAACGGCGACGGCGAGGCGAAGACGAGGACGACAGACGAACGAGCACAGCGACGATTGAACTACAAAATAATGTAAGGTTGCAGGACGTGCATGAAGAATATTTTCGAGAAGACACTCGGACGCGAGTAATGTTGGCACGAGGAGCGCGAATGGGGAGGAGGAAGCGGGGGCAGGACGTGGTGAATGAGGAGCAAGAGCACGACCGTGAGCATCAGGTGGAGGAGGACGCGGGGGCAGGACGTGGTGGATGAGGATGACCATGAAGAGAATGAGCACGACCGTGAGCATCAGGATGATGAGAACCGGGTGGAGGACGACAAAGTAAGGAGGAGCAGGAGGAGAAGGAGGAGGGTAGGAGGACGACCAGGAATGGGAGCATCAATGGCGGGTCACCTGATATGCACGACGGTGAGGATGATCAACGCAAAAGGACAACCACTGCATGATGGTGAATATCGACTTCAAGAATGCGTTCTACATTGTCATACGTTCAATTGGGGTGGATATGTCACATTCAGCGGATGTTGTTGAAGAGATACTGCAGAGAAGCGACATCCCGCAGCACTTCAGACCCTTGCTAGAGGAGGAGGCGATCAGGGCGCTTCCAGCACTTGCGGAGTCGGACGGGCCACCCCAGTTATGGGCCATGCTTTCAGAATCCTGCCGAACGACATGGTAACACCCTACGAGCAACGAGCACGGAGTACGCGGCTATTGCAAAGAGAGGCTCGAGACCAGGAAGCTCCACGGCGGACTACCTTTTCAACATCATTTACATAACGCCGCTGAACGATATCAACGAGAGCCTAAGCAAGATGGGAGTATGGCATTCGGTCAATGATAGGGTAGACATAATCTTTTCGACGGAGGGGGACAGGGACAACAGAGGTTGCAGATGCAAGCTATGTGGACGGCACAGCTATGCCGACGGTGGTGGCAGACAACAGGAACATAGAGGACCACATCAAGAAGGTATTTGCGCTGGTGCACGTGACGATGCTGAAGTACGGCTTCGACCCGAACTACGCACCAGGAAAACCAGCAGCCTCACTACACCTGGCGGGACCACGCAGTGCAGAAGCAACGATCAAGTACCACGAGGAGGAGGGAGCACATATCATAATAGATGAACTAAATGCTTCGGTACCGGTGGTGATGGGATGCGTCTTGGAGTATTGCAAACGAGCGACGGCAATTGGAGACCAGAACTTCAGCAACGAGCCCATTGTCGTAACTAGGAGCTTATATATACATATATATAGATGTACACAGGCGGTCTGTAATAACCCCAAAGTATGCGGCAAGGACAAGCCGAAGTATATTAAGAGCTACGCGGGCAGCAACCCCCTTTGGCAAAACGAAATATGGCCCATAATGCCGACATCAGTAAGCAGGGTTGCGAATACAGCGTGCAACAAGGGAGCGAGGCAGGCGCTCGACATGACGACCAAACCGGAAGAAATCAGGCAAACGGAACCGATACCTGACAGAGGCGTAACAGCGAAGGCGGGCATGGGCGACCTTCATGCGTTGCTGAGGTACAGACGGCTACGAGTCCCAAAGGCGATCATCCGCTAAGGGCCGCAAGTTCTTCGGATGATATTGGGCGAAGCTCATGCTGGAAGGGCGAAAGAAATTTGGGCCCACAGGACAGACAATGATTTGGAGTGGCAGATTAATACACGGCGGACGACGGTCAAACAGGCAAGATTTTGGAGGAATGGATCCAGCTTGTACGGGAATATGGAAACATGAATGATATAATCTGCCGTGAGGTTTGGTACAAACAGCTTGACCAAGACGCGGACGAGGCGAGTGAGGACAATTGGAGAAGACAGAT